ATTAGTTTAAGTTGTAATCCAACCTAATTAAAAGAAAATTTTTAGATGTCATATATAATATCTTTAATTAGTTCTAAGATGGATATGGTCACATAGGACCATAACACACCCGATCTCATATTTTTCTCAACTCTGCAAGTAAGAAGCATGTTAACTAAAAAAAATCTTACATCATTTAATTAACAAGAAAAAAAAAAGAAAAATTAAAATATTTTAATATTAAAAATATTAAGATATCTAATAATAATTATATAATAATTAATATTTTTAATTAAAAAATTTAATTTAATTTTTATTTTAAGGTAAAATATTTAAATCTACCTCCAAAGTATAGTGACAAGAATGAATCTATTCACGAACAAAAAATGGAGACAAATTCATTCACAAAGTTTTTTATTTGAATAAATTATTTCAAATTTAACATGTGACGTCATTTGATGTCAGTAATTCATTAATTTGATATCATCTGACATCAATAATCTATTATTAGCGACATAATAAATTAACGGATTACTGATATCAAATGACGTCACATGTTAATTTTGGAGTGATCTATCTAAATAAAAAATTTTGTGAGTGAATTTGTCTTCATTTTTTGTTTGAAGATGGATCTATCTTTACAATTATACTTTGACGGTAAATTTGGGTATTTTATCTTATTTTAATTATAAATATTAAGTGTTGATTATTTATTTATTGTCAAATTAAAATTAGAATTTATTTTTTTAATTTAAAATTTCACATTTCAATAAAAAGTGACAATTATTATCTAATAATTATTTCTTATCTACTGTTTTTAAGGTATATGATAAGTAAATATTTTAATAATTTCCATTACTTTTTTTTTTATAAGGACAATGATTAATAGGTTAGTATTATTAGATATTAACAATTAAAGATTTGATCCCCAAATCAGATGAATAATCCATCAACTTCAATGAAGCGCACAACATTAAACCGTTTAATGGAGTTCAATAATTTTCACTACTTAAATTGAAAAAATTAATATATTTTGTACTGAAAAATTATATTTAT